AAAGTATTGTAAAATATTGTCAGTACACTAAAGAAATCAATTTTCTTTCAAACAACATCTTGTTACTTCAATAGTATCAAAGTACATTTATAATTACATGTTACCTAAAAAAATCAAGTACAAAAATGAAGAGACATTGAAAACATCAGTGTTTATATCATTAGGTGAATAGAAATGGCTAACAACACAAGAATAGAGAAATCTGCTACCTAATGCTTGTCTGCACAATTGTTCAGGCACATACCTGGTATTTCTAATGCATCGTGAAAATGTAATATGACATTCAGATCTTTAGATATGGCAAACATGTTGTATTGGAATGGATGTTAAATGGTTTTCTTTAAAAACCCTGTCTTTTAAAAGTGTGGTGCCATTAGCCACTAAAAAAAAACATATTATTTTATATCATTTTCATAGCTATTTGCCTCAACTGTTTGAAAAGAGCAAGAAAGTAAACATACAATTGCTAAGTACGTAAACACGTTTTTAGTGCAAGATAACAAGACCTGTGACTGTACTGTGCTTAGTTTGATTTAATGATCACAGCGCACTGTACACAATTTGCTACACTATAAATGTCAAGGAATTCCAAATGAAAGGAGTGCATACTAAACATTTTCATATATATTATATACAGTGTGTAATTTGTATGTGGGTGTATACAGGTGTAAATGTAGATGCTTTTAGGCTGGTAAACCCAGTTATATTTGGGAACAACTAAACATTTCAAAGGTTTTTGCACACACTTATTTGAGAGGAACCCATCAGTTGCTTTAAAAATGTGTTTCCTTCCATTTTAAACTTCATAATATTTAAACGAAATACAACTAAACATTTTTCCAGATTAGCCACATTTTTTTACAACGTAATTGACCCAAATATCAAAGGGTTTTAAATCATCAAATACCCAAGTTATACTGAACAAGTCTAACATGGCAAAAATGTTACCCTTTTACTGATTTACATGGACAGCAGTACATATGTGTGTGTACCTACAGAGGCTTACACATAAACACAGTTCATACTTGAACACTAAATTCAGTATGGTTTAGCATCTTATTTTGACTGTACACTTGATCAGAAAAAATGGAAATATCATATATAAACACTTAAGTATTGTCAAACATGAGATTGTATATCTTCTTAAAAACAATTGGCTTTATCTTGAAAATATTAATGATTGCATAAATTAGCTCCTTACAGGGACTACCTATCTTCCAATGTTTAATTCCAGTGCTTCAGAAACTTTACTCTAAATGACTGATATATAAGTTGCTCAATAACGAACTCCTCATAAAAAATAGCGGGTTATAACAAACCATCCACATTCTTCAATTAGCCATCTATTCATCCATGCATGGAAGCTAGAGTAAGATAATCTTAAATGCTACGTGTGCCGCTTTTCTTTTATTTTCATTTAATTTTAGGACACAGAGATCTATGAATTACAGGTTTATTGTACATATGCTCTTATGCAAATGCGAAAGAACTGCTCAGAATTGCTGATTAAATTGTGAGAATCTCTTTTGAATTTCACAGGTAAGTACTGTTATTCTACAAGCTCTACTTCATAAAACTGGCTTGATTAACATGTAGGTAATAAGAAAACTGCATGGTATGCCTCTTGTCTTGATGTTTTATTTGGTCAGTGAGAATAACAACTATATAAGATTGTTTGGTATTACTTGACATGACCACTAAACTCGCTCAAAGAATCAAACTAAATTCTATACGTAGACAAAACATACACTGATGCCAAGCCATCATGAGAATAAAGTTTCTTTGTTTTCTAGAAGCAAAATGTTGGTCACCATTTTGAAGTAATGTCACTAGCCTTGAAAGTAAAGTTGTGTCCATTCGTATCTGGACATTTCTGTGTTTTTGAAGGTGCCCATTCCTTAAAACTATTGTACACATTTTAAACTCCTAATGTTTTGTTGTAGCTTCCCAGTTAGTTTGTATGAGTGGAAATTAACCTTCCCTTCACTCATGTGTTCCAGTGAAATAGACACAGGGAAAAGTTGGCAGGATTTGTATAAACGACTATTGTCATAGCTCGGATGATGCTGGTTTCTGGATCGGAACTATTTTTTTTTTCCTTTCCATCATTTCTAAAGTAATTTGTTTCTTCTCTTCAAAGAAATATCTCACATAGAAAAGCCTCTTGCTGACAGCCAATAAAATTTTCTTTCTATAAAATCTGCTGTGAAAAGACCATTTTTCATAAGTATGAGCTCTTTCACTCTGATAATCACCACGCCATGTTATGATTTCTTCTTTGGCACTACTAGAAATACGAGCTTTATCACAGCGTAGCATACTGATTGAAGTTATCCTCTGACCAAATTAATACAGAGAAATGTCCCAATTTATTGCTGTCAGAGAGTCAGTTTATTTTTCTCTCTGGAGTAATGATCTCTTATCCTCTACATAGAAAAACACTACATAAAGAGGAAACTGTTAATAGAATGGCTATTGTCACAGTGGACAATTAAAACATTGTATAGGCACAGAGTAAGTGCTTTTGAGTCAAATCTAAGTGAAACACTTTTGCAGATATTTCAGTTTCTTCCCGTGTTGGGAGAGATTTGTACAAGTGCATAGAAATATTTGCCTAAGGTCAAACTGTCAAACATGCTACCTCCTCAGAAAATAATGTATTTGAACAAAGAGTAGGAGGAATCTGCAAACATCACGAGTTTGACAGAACAAATGAGAATGACTGAATCAGTGTAGTACCTCTGTTTTCTTCTGGATAAGTGCTACTCAAGCATTAAAAAACATGTTCTGCCTCATTCAGAGAGCTATGTGCAAGACCAGCATCTAAGAAACATACTTGGGTCTCCCTGCAGAAAGATGTTGCCTAAGTATAAATTCAAGGGAGGGATGAACATTACAACCTTGACACTAAGATTTCTGTGCCAAGATCATAAGAATGCTGAGTATTGATGTCATGATTGATTGATTGTCTTGAGTATATACAGTCACAATAATTTAAATCAAAAAAACAATTTGGGTCATAACACATTTTACTTCAGTTATGATTTTTGTCCTCACGCATTTGTCATCATTCTTAGATTTGCGCTGCATTGATTGTTGGGTTTGAAATAGAAGCTCTAGTCAGTGAAATGTGGTGGCCGGGTTCATTTAAGTTACTTAAGATTCATTTAAATAACTTATGATCCTTCTGTGATTCCTTATATTTTGATTCTGCTCTTGTCACCACCTCATTAATGCAAGCAAAACCTAAAACTTCAGTAAGCTTTTTATGTATACAATTCTCCCACGAAGTACACACACACACACACACACACACACACACGACATACACATGCTCCCACTTACCTTGTTCCTTAGTCTTTCAGAATTCTAGCTGGACATCAAAATATACATTAATTATAAAACATTACAAAATTATGTTTTTAACATTTCAAAGGCTCTTGAAAGGAACTCTTACTGATAAAGCATTGCTAGGTTTTTTTATCAATATAGATTACAAAAATCCTCTACTTCCTGTCATATTTGGTTTTATTGAGCAGCACAGTACTATTGCTGTCAATACCCTCACATGGAAAACTACTGTAACAATAACTTCAGACACACACATTTTTCTTTCAGAAATATAATACTAAATTGATTGTGAACAAAGAATCACATACTGTCAATTTTAGGAAGCATAAATAGTAATTTAAATATATAAAATATATGTAATAGTTTCCTTTGTATTTATCTGTGGCAATATTTATATTCCACTAAGTTACTTTTAAAAGATATATAGAATTATTTTAAACTTAAATTTCATCACCACATAAAATTGAATCCACCTTATCCTCTATCCCCTGTATTTCCTGTTTCTTCCTTGAAAAAATATTTAAAAAAAAAGAAGTGATCATAATTCTTTGGTCATGGAGTCATGATCAACAAGAATTGATATGAGGGTTATGCGCGGATTATGACCCAAATATGTAATAACGAGTTTGAAAAAATAGCAAGAAACACTTTTCCATTAATGGACTTAAATTTTGAGAAAGATTGGCATGTAGTGCACTAAAATAGGTAAGCTGGTCTAGTTGAATGTTTCTTTTTTCCTCTAGGGGAAAGTTATGTATGTGAAATGTTACTTGAGAACTGTGACAGTGGTGACTGCACTGCTCCTGCTGTCACCCTCTTGCATGCAGTCATGCCGGGGTGCCTTTGATTTCTTGTTCTTTCCATTGTCACAGTGAACCCTGGTCTCCGCCCATCAGATCCATGGTGCAAGGACACATATCCCTAAAGTCATTTCTGAAGGAAATGTCCTCCCAACATTCTCTACCGTCTGACTAATCATTGTTTAGTATAACCAAGGAGATACTGGAGAGGACATTTTATGAAACCCATGTAGCAGGAATGTTGATGTCTGTATCACCTGATCATCCAAATTAGCATCATATTTGCATTTATTTTTTGTCAAAATCTTAAAACCTTAAAAAGTAGCAAATGTTCTTAATGAATATGACATTCAACTTCTACATTACTAGCACCAGATCATATATTATGTAGCTGAATATGATTTATAGCTGTGAGCTCTTATACAGAAGCCATATATGGGGAGGAGAAGAAAGAAAAGGTTTCTAAATGCAAAAATTAATAATAAAAGGCATCAAGGAATTACATATAAAAGAGATAACAAACCAGTTAATACCAAAATTATATCATATAGTAAACTTGATTATTTCTGTAATTTATATACGTATAGTGTGTATTGGTTCAGGTGTCACCCATAAACTAGTAAAATATTTACAATTTAATATCTTCTGGATTCAAAATAATCTGGGATAAATTAAATGTGCCTTGATTTCAAGGACACACACATTTCATCTTGAACTTGACACAAGTAGGCAGAGTTCCTTGTGGCGATGCACTCCCACAGAGAAGGTATGCAACAATTAGATACCACGTGACCCAGTCGACCTCCCTCTTCCTCTCAGGTGGTGTGGAGTCCCGTGTCCTGTGCACACTCATATGGCAGTGTCCCAGAATACTGTTTGCTGTTTAGAGTAGGGTGGAGGGCTGCACTTCTTCGCGCCTGCGTTCTTCTTCCAGCTGGGCAGGATAGGCATGCTATCCTGTTTGCAAAGGCCCTTTTCCGTTTTCTGTCTAGCTTTTATTTCCTTGCATAAGCAACGCTTTTTCTCAATCATCTCAAGCATTGTATGGTCTCCATGAAACCACTGCATGCATGCCACCTAGCAGAAAAGAAAGAGTGGATACAGAAGGAAAAAAAAATGGAATGAAAGAATTTTTTTTGCACTATCCTATTAGTTGCTTAGCTGTTTTTATACATCCTTTAAAAGTTTTTAAAATGAATTGAGAAATGTAACAGAAAACTGAAAGCACAGAAACTTTGCATTTAAAATAGTAATCATCATGATGTTATTTAATCATAACTAGGGCATAAATATTTTGATATATTCAAAAACCTTATAATATAGAAATATAACATTTTATTCTACCCTTTCCAACAATTTACCAAAATCTGTCTATGATTTTCACTCTGGTTCCATTGTGTTATTCATGTGTGTCTAAATTCAATCACTGAAATTATTTTTCAATGAAGTCTGATATGCATACGATATATTTAATGCTGTTAATGCACATTTTCTTTCACAAAATGCATTTTAGTCACTTAGGCTTGTTTATAAATAGCATGTAGTAGGATAAATAGTCTTAATAGCTCTTTCAGCTAAAATGATTTCATTGTGTACCATATGTCTGGAATGCAAACACTTACATGATTCTTTGGGAAAATATTTTATTATATTTTTGGATGCTTCAGCAAACATCTAAATTAAAATCATTGGCCTCTAAAATCACATTAATAAAGTTCCTAATTAGTTCCAAAAGCTTAAAAAAGAAAGATTTATCAGGTCAATTGGAATATCAGACAAAATCACTCTATATTGACACATATACATGTATTTTTGGACAGCAAAAACTGCTCCCAAATGTCATGGTACTGAGTCCACAAGTAGCTGTCTTTGAAATGAATCTATCACATAAAAAAGACAAGATAAAGAAGCTTACATTTAATTGTTTGAAAAAACACACTATGCTTTACAGGATTAAAATAGCTCACATGAAGTCACTAAAATTGGCATCATAATTTCAGGATGATGAAAGCATGTACTTATCAATTGTTTGCCCTACATCAGATCCCATGCCAAGTTCTTTGAATGATTTAATTCACATATTCCTCACAATAATGCTCTAAATTAAATACTGCAAATATACCCATACTGATAAATGAAATAACATAGGAACTGGATAAGTTGCCCAAGTTTACAGTCAATGAGGGAAAAGTCAAGATTTGAAGCTAACAATCCATTCATACCTTTAAAAACTACCATTCATTGCCTTTCAATGAGTGTAGAAACTGAAAAGAATTTGAAAGATAAATTAGTGTAATACCATTAATGTGTAAATGAGGAAATTAAAGTAGTAAGAAGTTATGTGGTGGTGGTGGTGGTGGGTTGCTGAGTGAATTCTCATTATCCCTAATGCACTAAGGAAAAGGAAGACCTAATGGTAGAAATGGATTCAGATCCAGAATGTGTTAAATTTCTCCTGGTCACTTGGTTTCTTGAGAAACTTATCTGAATAACTTTCTGATAATATCTCACTTTAAGCAATTAATGTGAAATGAGATGATGGGATATGAAGGTCAGCTTATCTTAAAAACAGTACAGTATCATACCGAGTCATTTTATTCCAAACACCAAGGAGTCTTCTGTACCGACACTCTTGTCTGGAACGTGGATGAAGCACTTCAGATGTGTTATTAAATCCTTCCTCCTGCACTGAAAGTTAGGATTTATCTACCCATCATGACTAGAAAACCAAGTTTCAGAAAGCTTAGCAAATGAGAGGAAAATAATCCTCAGGTTCGTCTGACTCCATAGCCAGTATTTTTTTTTTCTACAAAAGTATATTCACTCCACTGAATTTTATTTAGAGATTACAGCACACCTTGGTAGTCAGTTTTGTACTCAACACATCTTGAGGCAAACGTTTTGGCCTGGTGTTCTTCACTCAATTGGTACTTCATAGGAAAGCCAGAACTTGGTGGTAGGGATGAGTTCCTAGCTCACTTTCAGCCTGCAGTCAGCCCGAGTTGTTGATACTGATAGTTTTGTCTTAGGTTTGGTACTCCTCCTGCCTTCTGGATCCAGCTAGTGAGTACCAAGACACACATAATAATAGCTATTGTTTGTATTATCGTTTCTCGGTGCTACACCAACACACATACATTTATGGCTTTGTAAGTGAATAAAAATGCTTATTAATTAACAGTGAAAATCAATAGTCTAGACTTAGAAGCAAACAGTGACATTCCTAGAGAAATATCTTAGAAATACCTAACGTGATACAAAGTGCCTTGAAATGATGGGCTATGGATATACCTTTGGATGTCTCCTGATCCCAAGCCCAGGATCGTGATAAGAGCATTCGGTTCAGAAATAAATACTCAGTGTTGAGTTCATCTAACAAACAACTTTGCTGCAGAGGAGAAAGCCAAAGCAGCTCAGAAATTATTTGAAAGGCTTTCATAACAGGATAATCTATACAATAAAATACAGTAACTCTATTTTGGTGGAAGTACAAATGCAGTTTATTGAGTGACTATCAATTATCATAATGGAAGTGATAACAAAGAATTATCAGAGGACATCACTTAATCTCATTCATCTCAGAAGGCTCAGCATACAAAACCGATTTATAGGTTTTCAGTAAAATTTTATGAATTCAATAGAAGCTACCTTCATTGAACAGGCTTTGTTGCCTCTTTGAAAAACTCTCCAGATAATCTTAGAAAAATCTTATTTTATTTACACATCAGTGAAATGGAAAAACCTTTGAACTTCTGTAAGACAATATATCTTGTACCACCACTAATACATTCACATTTTTCTTACCTGTCTATGTGATCATTAGATCATTTGTTACTTAATATTTTAGCATTTTTAGGTGCAAATCAGTATGCATGACTACAAAATAATATTCTTTGTTTTCAACATCACAAACAGTATGTTCAGTACTTATATGAAGTACATTAAAATAGATCCATAAAAGATTTCATCACTTTCCTGGATTTTTAAACAACATTTTTCACTGTCTTACTAGAATACGGTTGTAAAATTATGTTCCATCTCCCCTGGCAGTGGAAAGAACTTTGAAGATCTACTCTAGCAACTAATTTGAAACCAAATCCTGTAATTAATGGCCATTTCTTAACAATAAGTGAAATATATTCATTATGTTGCTATACAAAAGAACATATATATAGACCTGGAAAATGACTATAAGACAAATGTTCAATTATTGTGAATACACATATTTTGGACAATATATCTATATTAATATGATTCAGAGATAATATTCTTGAATATTATTAGGTTCTTGGAAATAAAATAAAATGAAATGTCCTGTCAAGGAAGTGAAATACCTCTACCCCTGCGTGTTAGTTGTATAGTAAATACTTGTCAAAGAGTATGGTGTAGTGATCATTTTGGCCTCACATATACTACAGAAGAGTATAGTGTAGGAAAGAGGAGTAACTTTATGGTAGAGAAACATATTCTACAGGCTGAGTCTCAGTGCCCTCACAAAATTCACGTGCTAGGCTTCTGACCTGTGCTGTGGTGAGACTATCAGGAAGTATTTATATCATGGGATTAGTGACCTCATAGAGGAGGTTTGAGGCAGTTCTTCCTTTTCTTCCACTATGAGGACAAGCAAGAAGCTGGAGATCTATAACCCAGAAGAGGGCCTCACCTGAACTCATCCGTCCTGGGTCTGCCCTTGATCTTCCTAGGCTGAGAACTGTAAGGAATAACTTCCTCCTGGTTACTAACTGCCAAGTTTGATCTTTTGTAAGAACAACCCAAGTAGAAAAGGCACATGACAAACATCACCTTCAGCAGTGACAGGTCTTGTTGTCAGTAGATGTCTTTGGTATAAAGGGACATGAATAGTGGCACTTGACCTCTGCCTTCTTTCTCCTGCAAATTCCCACGCCTCTGGTCTAAACATCATACAACAGGGAAATCCAAATGGAGAAACATTCTACAAAATACCAGGTTGCTACTGTTGAATACTGTCAAGGTCAACTAAAATAAAGTCTGAAAACTTTCACCATCTACAGAAGTATAAGGAGACTCCACAACCAAACCTAATATATGGGCTGTCCTAGAAGGGACAGTGGGGCACACAAAGGTATTTAGATAAAAGCTGAGAAAATTAAGATAAAGTGTGAACCTTAGTTAATTATAATGTATCAGCCAGGCATGATGATGCAAGCCTGTAATTTCACTACTCAGGAGACTGAGGCAGGAGGATTGTTGTGAGTTCAAGACCAGCCTGGGCTACAAAGTAAATTCGAGGCCAACCTGAATGACATAATGAGACCCTGTCTCAAAAAGACAAAAGGTTATAATGCATCAATATTAATTCATTAGTTGTGACGAATGAACCATAGTATTCTAAGAAAATAAAATTAGAGACAATGGCTGTGGTTACACACTCTTTGAAACTTTAAAAATTAGATGACACATGTTTTTAAAAAATCAAATATGTGTTCTTTCCATGTGAGCTTAGCTCGTTCATTTTTCTATGAAACATGTTAGATGATATGATTAGGGTATTGTTAGTTGGATGACAATAAAATAACATTTATCTCTGAACATTCCATAAACATTATACAAGTACTGATTGATACATAATTCATGTATGCTATATGTATACTGAAAAACAATTCATTAGTATGTTTTTGTATGGATATTACATACAGCATTACATACACCACACTTCATATAGCTGTGGGAGGCAGTGAACTACATACAGCTTGTCAAGTGCTAAAGATCATAGATTCTTCTGGAATCATGAGAAGCTGCATATTGAAAAGGGGATTTTTATTCACCTCAGTAATTACTTTCTCTTGGGAAAAAATTGAGTATTTCCTGAGAGTACAATTATATTTTCTTCAAATACGAAAAATAGCAGTGTGGTAAAATAACTCATCTCTATAATATATACTTAAAATTGTTATTGTTCCAAAGTATATAAATCATGAAGACAAAAAGATACTCTGTGGTAACCACTTAAGTATTTTAATTTTACAAATGACATGAGAATAGAATTCTCATATCTATTTTTATTTCCATCCCTCATCAATTAGCATGTGAAAAAT